CTTGTTATCTCAGATTCTCCAGCATCTGCAGTTCCTACTATCTCTGATACAACTTTGATTGACCTCTCAGGTGAATGTAAAAGATTTCATGGCCTGATTCACGGAAGAGCAAAAGCATTCTCTCTGACTAACCTTTATTCCTCAATCAGTTTTTCACGCAGAGTGTGGTGTGTGTATGAAATGAGCTGCCAGAGGAAGTGGTAGAGGCTGGTACAATTATAGCATTTAAAAGGCACTTGGATGGGTATATAAATAGAAAGGATTTAGCGCGATATGGACCAATTGCTGGCAAATGGGACTAGATTAATTTAGGATATCTGGTTGGTATGGATGAGTTGGACCAAGGAGTCTGTTTCCATGTTGTACAGCTCTATGATTCTAAGTAAAACAATGAATCCAGTCCCATAGTTTGTTGCTGCTTGGGGGATTTTGGTGTGCCCAAATGGCCACTTCATTTCCTGCATTACAATAGCAAGTAGACTTTAAAAGTACTTTGTGAGATGAAAAGTACTTTGGGTTGTCCTGTGGTTGTGAAAGCCACTGTATATATTACATATACCTACATGAAGCCTTTCTTCTTTCCTTGTGTCATAGAGTATGAAAACTCATGTCTCTGCTTTCATGATAATCACAATTTAATGGTCAGAAACAGCTCATGGTGCCCAGATTATGATTGATAATGAGGGACATCTTGGGAATATTCAGATATTTTTGAGAGAGGTGGACAGATTCTTGTTAGGCAAGGAAATAAAAGGTTATGGGTAGATGGGAATATGGAATTCAGAACACAACAGATCAGGCATGATTTTATTGAATGGTGGATCAGGCTTGGGGATTTGAATGTCCTCTTCCTGCTCCTATTAAAATAACGTGAATTGCTTGCTGTGTATTGTATTCTGCTACTATTCATCTTGGGCAAGTAGCACAGCATGAATGTTAAGATTCTTGCCATTATTCACACGATATATAATAATAATACACTATTTGTTAACCCTGCTGTCTTAGCACACTCCCAGTGCTGCAAACTGCTCATAGGTACTGACGCAAACCACGTAGCTAACTGCTGGGATGTGGCTGGACCTGTGATTATTACTTGTGTTCCTGTGGGCATGTTACCTGACCCTCTGCTCATTGTTTTGATATGATAGCTTTGCTCAGACAGAGTTCGCCATGTGACAGCATGGGTATGAGTTGGCATTACAGTGTCTCAGATTTGCTGTCTCAACAGCCAGTACTTTTCTAAGTTAACTCCCTTGCTTTGTACTTGTTTCTTTTCAGTAATCCAGTCACAATGTTTCTGTTCCCTTCGACTGAGAGAAGTGTCCATGATGTGATGAAAAGCATCTAGTGTATAATAATGTTCCAAAATGTATCATGTGGTTACTGATATGCACAAGGACTCCAATGACAGAATTTGTTATGAAACAAAGTTTGGCTGTGTGTGATTGACAGAAAAAGTAACTTTTGTGAGAAGTGAGCAAGACCTTACAAGTCATAAAGTCAGTTAAGTTGTTCTTCACTGTTAATAATTGTGCATGCAACCTGTTAAGCAGAATGCAGTTTGCAAAGAACCCATTTGCAATCCTGTTATCAATATTTTCTGTTCACATGTCAAATTTGACAAATCACTTGCTTGCAGCAATTGGGTGGAGCTGCACCAGACAACTTAGTTAGTTAAGTCTTAAGAGGAAAACAGGTGGAGAAAATCTCAGTGTGTGTCGCACAGAAAATAACTTGTAAGAAGAAATTTGAAGGCATCTGGTACCAACTGAGCTATAAACAGACAGTGCTTCCTGCTGAGACTGAAGAAAGGGGAGCTTAGCAGAGTTCATGATGGCCTTTAGTAGGCCCAGTATTCTCCACAAACTTTATGATCTGAATTTCCAGTGTACAGTTAGAAATTGGAAGAGATGAATATGGAGACGTTGGTTTACACCATTCTACCTTCTGAAACAGAGTGGAAGATGTCAAAGGCTGCTTGTGTCTGATCTTTTCTAAGTCTGATGTCCATAGTATGAGCATTCTCCAAGAGAGGCCATTGGAGCGTGATCAGAACCTGGAAGCATGGTTTCTTATCTGTTGCCCCTTCCAGTCTATGTTTATACTGGTGAGTGTTACACCATACGATGCATCTATTCATTGAGCCACTAAAGAGACTTTGAAAGGACTTCTTTTGAGACTTCTTAAGCAGGGGATTTTTGTGAATTAGTCTCATGTTTTGTTTTCTTCTGCAAGTCTTGGATCTCTGGCACTTTCTGGAGATTGACAGAATGGTGATGTTTGCTCTGATTTTGTGCTGCCCTCACTGGGGTGGTGCCTGACCTTTCACAAAAGCACAGCTAATAGTTGGGAATGTAGCACTGTTAGCGCTGACTATATGTTTCCCAGTGCCCTGGCATGAAGTGTTCATGTATCAATTCACTATACCATTGTACTTAGACTTTTGTCTCTAAGTGAAGATTAGGATATTTGCATATTCTTTGGTAGATAGATGACTTGGTGTCACTCTTGTTTCAGTTGTTGCAAAATGCTTTGAAGGGCATCCATTCCATTCTGAATGCAGGGAGAATTAATCTGACACAAACCGATCAACTGGGGAATCTCCTTGCAGTTCTAAAGGTAAGTAATTCTAAATTAACAACAGTTTAACATTGTCTTCACTGACTCTGGTTGAACTGAGTCTGTTAACAATACATAGATCTAGAGAAGAATGATTACTGGCCAGTACTTATAAATAAATTCATTTATGGGAAGTGGGTATCTCTTGCAAGTATCACCCACCTTTTAGTTGCCTTTAAGAAGATGATGGTGAGCACTTTCTCGAACCACTGCAGTCCATTTGTTGTAGGTAGACCCACAATGCCATTAAGGGAGGGATTTCCAGGAAATTGACCCAGCAGTGCTGCAGAAACAGTGAAATATTTCCAAATCAGGATGGTGAATGGCTTTGAGGGGCCCCTGCAGATGGTGGTGTTTCCACATATATGCTGCGCTTGTCCTTGTTAACATGAAGGATTCTCCTTCTCAACTTCTGTCCTCACCTGAGGCATGGTGACCATCAAGTTTAAACCACCATCAGTCATCTCTCTCTGGTAAGAGAGCAACCCCATGGTTTGGTCAGACTGTGGCAACTTTACCATTACCTTCTTAGTGGTAGTGGTGGTGGGTTTGGAAGATGCTACTGGAGGAGCCTTGACAAGTTGTTTATGCACACCTAATTATTGAATTATGCAACTTAAGTAAGACTATGAATATAAAGGAACTGATACATTGGAGTGACCCAGGATATGTTGGATCCCTATAATCAATCCATTTGGAAGTGTTGGCCTGTTAGGAGTCTGTGAACATGGAAGCATGGTTTCTTATCTGTTGCCCCTTCCAGTCTATGTTTATACTGGTGAGTGTTACACCATACGATGCATCTATTCATTGAGCCACTAAAGTCTATTTTACCCCCACCCATTTGTTGAATGTTGGCAAGGTGACGTTTAGCCTAGGGTGCAGTCAGCATTTACTGCATCGCTTAACCAAACACCTTATTTTTCCTGTGTTTCTTTCATCGCAGACCTATATGTTCTATGGTTTTCCGGGTGTGAACATTGACGTTCCTGCTGTTCTTTACCCAGCTCCTCTTCCCCAGTATGAAGGTAGCTCACCCACAAAGGAGCAATTAGGAGGTGCTACAAACTCTACAAAGCAAGTCGGGGTAATAACATTTCTCAATAATATGATTAAGGTTGAAAGACATCATAAATTTTGAGGTATCTTTGTTCGAGTAAGCAAAATCATTTATATGAATAATTTGGATGTGAACATGGGGGTATGGTTAGTAAGTTTGATTTTGACACCAAAATTATGGTGTATAAGACTGTGAAGGTGGTTACATCAGAGTACATTGGGACCTTGATTAGACGGGCCAATGGGCCGAGGAGTGGCAGATGGAGTTTAATCTCGAGAAATGCTACATTTTGCTAGGGCAAATCAGGGCAGGAGCTATACACTTAATGGTAAGGTCCTGTGGTATGTTGCCAAACAAAGAGACCTTGGAGTGCAGGTCCATAGTTCCTTGAAAGTGGAGTCACTGGTAGACAGGGTAGTGAAGAAGGTATTTGGTAAACTTGCCTTTATTGGTCAGTGCATTGAGTATAGGCTATAGAAGGTCATGTTGCGGCTGTACAGGATATTGGTTAGGCCAATTTTGGAATACTGCGTTCAATTTTGGTCTCCCTGGTAGAGGAAAGATGTTGTGAAACTTGGAAAAGGTTCAGAAAATATTTACAAGGATGTTGCCAGGATTGGAAGGTCTGAGCTATAGGGAGAGTCTGAATAAGCTGGGGCTATTTTCCCTCGAACATCGGAGGCTAAGGGGTGACTTTATAAATGTTTATAAAATCATGAAGGGCCATGGATAGGGTGAATAGACAAGGTCTTTTCCCTGGGGTAGGGGAGTCTGAAAGTAGAAGGCATAGGTTTAAGGTGACAGGAGATAGGTCTCTTTTAAATCTAAGGAGCAACTTTTTCACACAGAGGGTGGTGCATGTATGGAATGAGCTACCAGAGGAAGTGGTGGAGGCAGGTATGATTACAACATTTAAAAGGCATCTTGTATGGATATATGCATAGGATGGATTTAGAGGGATACGGGCCAAATGCTGGCAAATGGGACTAGGTTAATTTGGGATATCTGCTGGTCGGCATGGACCAAGTTGGACTGAAGGGTCTGTTTCTGTGTTGTACAACTTCATGTCTCACTAAGTGGTGTCTGGTGCACTGGATCCCTATGATTTAAGCTGTAACACATCAAGAGTGTTGCTTTTAGCTACAGGCAATGGTGTATAATGGATAATGTTGAATTGGTTGCCTGTTATAAACACAAGTCAATTTTGTATTCCTTTCACTTGAATGGAGTGAAGAATTGATTGTGAGGCTGATTAAAATGATATTACCCTTCTTATACTGTCACTGAAAGTTAAAATTACAGCTGAAATGTGCAGTTGATGCTTTAAAGCACGAGGGTGGAACCTGAGACAAGCGATCAGACCTTTCAGTGCTGATTATCCCATCTCACTGTGTGCCTGCATTATCTGGCACTGCACGTTAAAGTCATATGTTGTATGTGAAGCACTTTGAAGCTTTTCTGAGAAATGTGAGAAGATGCTACATAAGTATCTTTTTTTCTCCCTCTTGAATGTTTTTTTTTGACCTCCTGGTTTGAAATGTGGAATCTGTGGGGAAGGGTGTTTTATGGGTGTCATGGTTGCCCTTAAATGGAGAGCAGCGTCTCATGTTTCAATCCTGTTTATTTTCAACTAATGTCATGCCTGTTTTAATTTTTGAGGAAGGGGCTTCTCCTCTACCCACCTTTATTAATTTGAAAGGTCACAGGCTTATGAAAAATATACAGATAGGACAGACATCAAGAATTGGAAGGATGAGATGAAATAGAGCATTGAATCTTCTTCATTAAGAAGGTGAAGCGCAAGTGGGGTGCATGTGACCCTAGCCCATATTAAGAGTATCAGTGCTGTCTACTTTATATTGATGTAGGAAGTAATTCTTCAGTTCCCTTGAACTAAATTGAGACACTTTATTTAAACTATCCATCAGTTTCATTATGTATATAACTTTGGGGTGGCACGGTGGCCCAGTGGTTAGCACTGCTGCCTCACCGCGCCAAAGACCCAAGTTCAATTCCAGCCTTGGATGATTGTCTATGTGGAGTTTGCACATTCTCCCCCTGCCTGCGTGCATTTCCTCTGGGTGCTCTGGTTTCCTCCTACAGTCCAAAGATATGCAGGTTAGGTTGACTGGCCATGGTAAGTTGGCCATTGTATCCAGGAATGTGCAGGCTAGGTAGATTAGTCATGGGAGATGCAAGGTTACAGGGATGGGGTGGGATGCTGTTCAGAGGGTCAGTGTGGACTCGATGGGCTGAATGGCCTGCTTCCATCCTGCGATTCTATGATTGCAGATAGTTTCTAATCAACCTGTTTGAAGATGTTATTACTCATTTCTGCAGCAGGTGGGACCTAAACCTGGGCCTCCTGGCCCTAGTGTAGGGCCACTACCACTATGCCACGAAATCCCTAAACCCGACTGCTCCTGGTATTCCCAGGTAATTTCCCAACCAAGTACGAACCAGGCCTGAGTCTGCTTAGCTTCTCTGAGATCAGACGAGGTCCAGCATTTTCAAATTAGTATGGCTGTAAACTAGAAGGTTTGTGGGCTGTCAGCTTTGATTATCTCATTCAGAATTGGATTTCTTGATGGACAAGGGATTACTGAACTGGCAGCCATTGTGTCTACTGTTTAGCATGTCTGGCAAAAGATGTACAGAATGAAAAGTAATATTAAATCAGAAAACCATGTTTAAACTGACAAAAGATATAGTGTGAAATCAGAGCTAAAGTTGTTACTCAGTAATTTTTCTCCAGAGGTGATGATAGAGCTCCCCAGTGATTCAGTGAGTAAGTGCACCAACAAGAACTCAACTGAATACTACAGAACAGGATGACCCCTGATCTGTGATAACAAGGTGTAAGGCTGGATGAACACAGCAGGCCAGGCAGCATCAGAGGAGCAGGAAAGCTGACATTTCGGGTCTGGACCCTCCTTGCTATCTCAGACACCAGCATCGGCAGTTCCTACTATCTCCCTGATCTGTGTTTGGTTACTTGATCTCAATCCAAAGTCGTTAATGAGTCCTCTAGAATTGACTTTGAAAAGCCCAGGCTGGAGAGAGGGAGCAAAATCAACATGGATTCGCAAACAGGATGCAGGCCAACAACAATGACAATAGCAATAAACAACAAAAACAATTTATATTTATATACAGTAGCTTGTTAGCACAATAAAACATCTTAAGGCTTTCACAGGAGCATGATAAAACAAAATATAATACCAAGAAATATGAGGTCAGATGACTAAGAGCTGAGTTTTGAGGACCATTCCCAAAGGAGAAAAGCAAGGTGATGGAGAGGTGTAGAGAGGGTAGTCCAAAGTTTGGGGCGTGGGCGACTGAAAATGTGAGCACCAAAGGTGGTACGCTTAACATCAGGGATGCTTTAAATTTCGTAGCCTTCAACAGGTTCCCGATCCTTACTGTCAGGCCATTTAGATTAGGAATGGCCGCACAGAGGCTTATTTGTGCTTGGGAAGTTCATTTTCTAAATGCCAACAGAGACGAAAGCATAGCTGGGATTTTAAATTCCAGCTGAAAAGTAGAGTTTTGATTAGGAAATATATTTAAGAAAGGTATATCAATTAGGCACAGCAAGTGTGGCTTCCGTTTTAAAAGTATGCATTTTAATTTTATATTCCTAAAAAAGCATAAGAAAAAGAAATCTCGATCCAAAAACAAGAAGGAACAATTGGAGGATCAAAGGGAAGAGCAGAAGGAGACAACACAGCAAGAAGTACTCCAAGGAGCAGACAGTGGGGGGCAAAGAGGAGGTGACTCAACTTTTAACCTCCTCCAAGGGCGAAACTATTCTGACAAGACAGTGCCTTCTTTAGATGGAAAAGATCTTTCAAATTCCTTCTATCCCAGCTGGAAAAAAATAAATAGCTCTGATTCTGAGTATTCAGACACTGAGGGAGGAATCCAGACCAGACAGAGGTGAGTGTTGCATTGTGCAGTGAAACCGAGTCTGCACCTCATCTCTTCTTGAGGGGAGGTGATGGCCTAGTTGTATTATTGCCGGACTGTTAATCCGGAGACCCAGACAACATCCTGGGGACCCGGGTTCGAATCCCGCCACAGCAGATGGTGGGATTTGAATTCAATAAATATCTGGAATTACAGAGTCCAACGATGAATCCATTGTTGATTGTTGGAAAAACCCATCTGGTTCACTAATGTCCTTTAGGGAAGGAAACTGCCATCCTTACCTGGTCTGGCCTACATGTGACTCCAGACCCACAGCAATATGGTTGACTCTTAACTGTCTTCTGGGCAATTAAGAATGGGCAATAAATGCTGCCTAGCCAGCAAGGCCTTCATCCCATGAATGAATAAAGAAAAAAAAGTAGGGTTTGCTGCTACTGTCCAGTTTAAGTGTAGGGATCTACAGGGCCTTCTTAGTATTCCCTGGTAGAGGAAGACCACTTCCTGGTCTAACTAGCAGAAGCTCCTGTATTGGACAAGAACTGGTTTATTGCTTGTTAACAATCAGTTAGAGGTTACACTGATATGATAGACATTGTTACAGAGACTATGAGAAGGACCTTGGTCAGCATGGTTGAGTTGAACCAAAGGACCTGTTTCCTTGCTGTATAACTCTATGGTTCCATGACCTGGATGTTAGTCTTACTCTTTTGAGATCCAAAACTGTTCTGCCCACAAGCCCGTATGACAACAACATAGTGTGTTGTGTTATGGCGCTCCTCGGTGTTAACCCTTTTGGACCCTTATGCAACAAATATTACATTCAGAGAAAAGCAGAATGTTGCAGATGTTAGAAATCCGAAGCAAACTCAGAAGATGCCATGCTCAACAGGGCTGGCAGTATCCATAGAGAAAGAAATGTTAACGTTTCTATTCTGATAAACTCTTCTTTAGAATTGGTGCTGAAGATGTGTAAAGTTTCTGGGACTAATTATTAGGCAGAATTGAAAGTGTACAATGCTCTGTTACATGAAATCTGTGACAACTTGAGAATTACAAGTATTTAGGATAAAATGCCCTATAGTGGTCTGTCTAACTAAAATCTTTGCACTGCAGCCTTGACTGAGGTGTGGTGGTTCCTGCTGAACTTGTTGTGCCTCTCTAAGCTAATGATTAAGATCAGTGGGAACATTTTTCAACTTTGCCTTCCTAACCAGGAACCATGCCAACTAAAAGTATGTAGCATATAATTCAGTGCATTGTATATCTGAATTCTCATCGTATACTCTTTGGAGTTTCCAGCATCACACACATCTTCAGGCGAGGAAATAATGGAATGGAGGAAATGAAATAAATGTATCCCTACAGTTTCCCTTTTCTGATTATAGATCACTGCAAGCAAAAGTTCGCCAGGGAGCTTTGTCCTGCTTCCTTTCAACCATAAAGTCATTAGAGAAGAAAGTTCTGTATGGCTACTGGTCTTCATTCATTGCAGATGCCCCTGGCATTGGAAGCCCACAAGCTGTCTCCTTGATGACAATTGCTTTGAAAGATCCATCACCAAAGGTAAGGGATTTGCATATTCATTTGCTGAACAGAATTATGAGATGCTTTGCGATTTACTTTCTTCATCTCTGGATTGCCTTTACATCCTGTTGTTTGAACCCTATCTAAAGTTAGATACCAAGATTTAAAGAACAATGAGGGAGTATTCATCTTGCTGTGCTGGTCTGAGGCCCAAGTTGGAGATCACTGGATACTGATCAAGAGTGGGAACCTTGACTGATTTTTCTCTTCCAGCGAGGGCATGCTGCTACTACCACTCTGAGTTCAATTAATTCAGGACAAATCAAGGACGAATCCTGAAACCTTCACGACCTGTTTGGTACATGCAAACCATTCATCCATAATGTCAGATTTCCAATTTGTGTTTCCTGATCCCTGATAATTTGACCCTCAAGGGCAGTGTAGTCCTTGTTGTGCTTGACATTTCTTACATGCTGGTTTGTCCTCTTAGAATTTTGTGTATGTTTAAATTTGAGATCAGTTAACTTAGCGTTGTTTCTTTATTGTTGGAGAACTCCCAAATCAGAAAATCAGAGCAAGTTGATGTAGATATAACTTGGTGACAGTGGTGATTCAACCCACGGAAATGACTTGGAATTGCTGTTTTTTTTCCATTGTTGCTGGATCAAAATCCTGGAACTCCCTTTATAACAGCTCTATGCATATCCTTACACCTGGTGGACTGCAGCAGCTCAAGAAGGCAATTTGCCACCATTTTCTCAAGGACAAAAAGGGGTCAGCTGTCACCACCAGTGGTCATATCCCATGAAGCTCAAAAAGGAAATTTTTTTTTATATTCACTCATGGGACGTGGGTATTGTTGGCTGCCAACATTTATTGCCCATCCTTAATTGCCTTTGAATTGAATTAGCTTTATTGTCACATGGACTCACATGAGTACAGTGAAAAGTTTACAAGTTGCCACTTGCAGTGCTGTCTTAGGTACCTAGGTACAGATTCTTGAGTACAAATTCTCAGTGGAAAAAAGAATTAAAAAAGAGAAGAATAAAAATTACAGATCTTCAAAAGTGCAAAGTCATAGTAATAAATGAGAAAAATAAAGAAATAAAAAGTTCAGAATAACAGTTCTTCCATGATATCATATTAAAGAAAGAAAATAAACTTAATGAAAAGAGAAGATGCTGGTGAACTGCCTTCTTGAACTGTTGTGGTCCATGTGCTGTACATAGCCTTTAGGGAGAGAATTTCAGGATTTTGACTCAATGATAGTGAAAGAACAGTGACATATTTCCAAGTCAGGATGGTGAGTGACTTGGAGGGGAACTTGCAGGTGGTGGTTTTTCCACATATCTGCTGCCCTTGTGCTTCTAGATGGAAGTGGTCGTGGGTTTGGAAGGTGCTGTCTAAGGATCCTTGGTGAGTTTCTGCAGTGCATCTCGTGGATAGTACACTGCTGTTACTAAGCATCTGTGGTGGAGGGAGTGGATTCTTGTGGACATGGTGTCAATCAAGTGAACTGCTTTGTCCTGACTGGTGTCAAGCTTCTTGAGTGTTGTTAGAGCTGCCCCAGCCAGGCAAGTGGGGAGTACTCCATCACAATTCTGACTTGTACCTTGTAGATAGTGGACAGACTTTGGGGAGTCAGGAGATGAGTTATTTGTTGCTCTATTCCAAACCTCTGACCTGTTCTTTTTATATGTGGCCCCTGATGTTAAATGTTTCATTTCAATATAGACAGCAGGTAAAAGCTTGGATGTTGTAAAATAATTTATGAGCTCCTGTGCTACTGTTTTATGTGTGTCAGGTCCGTGCTGGTGCTCTCCAAGTCCTATCGGCCATCTTGGAAGGATCTAAGCAGTTCCTATCTGTCGCAGAGGACACCAATGATCATCGGAGAGCTTTCACACCCTTCTCTGCAACCTTGGCTTCTAACATCAGGGAGCTTCATAGATGCCTGCTGATTGCCCTAGTGGCAGAATCCTCCCCACAGACACTCACCCAGATAATCAAGGTAAAGCGGATCCATTCCTTTCATACCAGGAGCACTTGGTCATTAATTATCTTTCAGCACTTGACTTCATAAACCCCCAAGTTGATGAATATTTCTTCTCTTTCATTTGGATCATGTAGTTTTAAGAAACCCTTTTGTGGGAAAGAACAAATTTTATCTACTGTCATGGGCCATTGTCTTTGTTTTGGTCCAGTATACATCAGCATGACAGAGCCTTGTCAAGATGTTGACAACTGCACATCCAGTCAGTGGACATCCACTGATTTAAGGACATGAGACCATAAGACTAAGAGCAGAAGCAGGCCATTTGGCTCATCAAGTCTGCTTCACCATTCAATTAAATCATGGCTGATCTGATAATCCTCAGTTCCACTTTGCTGTCTTTCCTTGATTCCCTGATTAATCAAAAATCTATCTCAGTGTTGGTTCTTCTTAATATCCCAGCCTTGACAGCTCATTGGAGTAAAGAATTCCACAGATCTACTACCCTCAAAGAAAAGAATTTCCTTCTCATCTATGTCTTGTGGCAACGCTTTACTCTGGGATTATACCCTCTGGTCCTAGACTATCCCATAAACGAACTCAACCTCTCTGCTTCAGCCCTGTTGAGCCACCTAAGAATCTTGTATGTTCATTAAGGTCACCTCTCATTCTACTAAACTCCAATGAATAGGGACAGAACCTACTCAACTTCACTTCATAATGTAATCTTTTCATACCTGGGATCAATCTACTCAATCTTCTTTGAATTGCCTTTAGTGCCAGTATACCTTTCCCATATATTTCCCTATATAAAGAGACCAACACTATTCGCCATATTCTAGGTGGATCTAATTAGTGCCTTGTATAGTTTTAACAAGACTTCCCTATTTTTATACTCCATCTCCTTTAAAATAATGGCTAGCATTCCATTTGCTTTCCCTATTACCCTCTGAACTTGTATACTAGCTTTTTGTAATTCATGCACGAAGACATCCAGGTCCCTCTGTGCTGCAGGCTTCTGTAATCTTTCTCCAATTAAACAATACTCAGCTCTATTCTTCCTGCTGTAGTGCATAACCTCTAATTGCTCCACTTTATATTTCATTAGTCAAGTGTTTACTTACTCACTTATCCTGTTTATATCCTTCCACAGACTCATTGCATCACCCTTACCACTTGCCTTTCCACTAATTTCTTTGTCATCCACAAAATACCAAAGTTACATTAACTTCCTTCATCCAAGTCTTATATATCTTATTATGGCCCCAGCATTGATACCTCTACTTGTTACAAGGTGCTGCTGTGAAAATGCCTCCTTTATCCTAACTCTGTCTTCTTTTAGTTGGCCAATCCTCTATCCAGGCTAATAAACTACTCTCAACACCATGTACTTATTAAGTGGCCTTGTATGTGGTGCCTTATTGAATGCCTTTTGGAAATCTGAATATGTTACATCTATTGTTACCCTTTTAATTATCCTCCTTGCTGTGTCCTCAGGAATTTTAATACTACCACCGAGATAAAATATCATTATGTGCCATATCTCCCAGTTAAGCTAACTGGCCTTAAGTTACCTGTTTCTGTTTCCCTTTTTGAAAAATGGTGTTATACTGGCAGTTTTCCAATCATCTGGGACTTCTTCAGAATCTAAGGATTCTTGGAAGATTACAGCCAGTGCATCTACTATCTGTGAAGCTATTTCCTTTAGTATTCAGGGTTGCAACTCATTGGGTCAAGGAAACTCCCTTGATTTAGCATTTTTGGAATTTTATTTGGTATTTTCCATGGTGAAGGCTGATGCAAAGTATTTATTCAACTCTTCTGCCATTTCCAGGTTCTCCATTTAAATTTCTCTGGCCTCATTCTCTAAGGGGCCTGTGTTCACTTTTGCCTCTCTCTTACTTTTTTTGTAAATTTAAAGAAGCTCTTACAGTGAATTTTTATATTGCTTACTGGAGAAAGCTTATAGTTCATTTCCTCCCTGTTATGGACCAGAGCAGACTCCCCCAAAATGTTTTAAGAAGGAAGCCCTAACTGTTTCTTCTTCTAAAGGAAGATGTGAAGTGCGTGTTCCACATGTGATGCGACTGGCCAAACAACTCAATGTTAAGCAAAACACAATTTATTTAAATGTTATAGTTAAAATACAAACAAAAGAAAGAGGAATTTAGAATAACTTAACTATTGGAAAACTTAACCAACTAATAGATACCGTACCTATTACTAATTAACTGTTCCAATATAGTAATATCTCATAAACATACCCCTTGGCAAGAAGGCAAGTTCAGATACAGATTTTTACATGCAGTTCTCCAATCCAGGAGGTAAGAGCATCAAGAGAAATTTCAGAGAAAGTAGCAGCTAGGAATCATTCGCTGAAGCTTCCAACTCTTTTGAGACTCCAAACAGTTTGACTGCTTAAAAGACAAAGCCCGGAAATCCTGATCTGTTGTCATTGGTCATACCCATTCAAGCTGTTTTTAAAAAAAAACCCACGGCCTCAGAAGTTGCTTACTGTCGTGGTTCTAGTTAACTACTCGGCACCTCTGCCTTTACAACATCTCATCAAAAAAAAGACCCAGGACAATACAACCTTTTAAAGTGATAGTATTGTCGCATCCCACTTTTTCATTTGGTCATCTTTTGTCATTTTTACAACTTCCTACAGTCCTAATTGCTAATTTTTATTGCATTGTATGTTTTTCTTTCAATTTGATACCACTCTTTACTTCATTGGATAACCACGCCTGGTTTATCACCGCCTAGAATTATTCTTCCTCATTTACTTGGTAGTATTGTGTTTTTGTTTGGCATACAGTGATATTTAAATGATACCTCAGCAGGCGTCTGCTGAGCTCCGTCAATAGATGTGGGTTCATATTTAGGTCCAGGACATGGTGGCACAATCTTGGATTCAATGAAGTTATGAGATTGCCAAATTACTGGAGGTGCCAACTGTTAGATCAAATATTTAGACAAGGCCCTTATGATTAATGCTTTCATTTTGTTTTCTGTTGTTGAATCAGTGCCTTGCTAATCTGGTAACCAATGTGCCATACAATCGCCTCAAACCAGGACTCCTTACCCGTGTTTGGAACCAGATTAAACCCTACAACCGCCGCAAAGGTTTGTGTATCAATTTATTTGTTTGTTTACTAGTAGATATCAAGTGTTGGTTTTGGGTCAAGAAGTAGAGGCACAGAGGTAAGCAGGAAAAATGGAATAAAACTTTTGATTATATAGTGCATTCCAGAAGCTTCAGTTATCACAAAGTACTTCTCAGCCAGTTGAGTACTTTTGAAGGTCGTTTACTTCTGTAATGTGGGAGAGGCAGACAAGAGTTGTGCAGGTGAACTATAGGTTGAGCGGAGAGGCAGATAAGGAAAAAGCTAGTGGATCAGATGTGGAACTAAGAAGACTTTTAGCTTATATCTGTGTTTTTCTATGTTCCCTGGGCATGAGTGGGAATTCTTTGGAAGTTCGGAAGTTTTTAAACATCCTTTTAGTATCTGCATTGGGGTCCTTGTGGCACAGTTAAAACATCTGTATCTTTGGGCCAGAAGGTTTATGTTTGGGTCCCATGCCAGGACTTATTGGCCATGAGAGGAGTTCGGATTGTGGCCCATACAGGTTGATTGTCACTGTAATTTCCACAATGCCTATGGCAGGCAGTACGAATAGGAGAGTTTCCAGGTCAGTTGTAGTGCAGAAGGAAATGGCAAGTCACTGCGGTACTTTGCCTATATGCATGGACCAATACAGTGGAAATCAGTGGCCCAATCCTTGGAAACAAGGATGGGAGAAAAGGCAGACTGAACAGTATCTGGTTCATTTAGAAACAGCAAGGCAACCTGAAAACCAGGTCATGAACCTACACTGAACCAACTGTCCCTGACTTGGGAAAATGCTATTACACCAACAGACAAAAGGAATAAATGTAGACCCCAATCACCCAGCCCATCATTACAAATTAGCATACGTACTTCTCACTGACAGTTTGGATTTTGTGATATCTTTCTTGCTATCTTAATGTTCTGTACCATCCTGTGGTTGAAATAATGGTTAGGTGATCTTCTCTGTTAATGTTGGTGTCTTATGAGAAGAATGAGAGACTTGATTTGAAACCTACCTGTCTGGATGGATCAATACGCCACTAAGTTGTTCCTTTACCCACTGATATATCATAGAACATAACTTAACCAAGCCAGCATGGAATTGACACTGACAAAGTTAGTATTTGTATATCAGGCAGTTTCAGTTCTACAATCAGACATCAGTCTTGATTCTGACTCTAATTTTGGAAAACTGATTGAAATCAATATTTTAAATCCCAATGACTAACATGCCATCTATTTCTTCAAACTTCAGATGTCAATGTGCGTGTGTGCAGTTTGACTTTACTGGGAGCAATCATTTCTGTGCAGGCGCCACTTCCTGAGGTACAGCTGCTCTTACAGCAGCCTAGCTCTTCAGGCCTCTCAAACAGTGGCTCAGGAACACCCTACCGCCTGAGTGACTCAGAGTCTTGGCGAAAACCCCAACAAACAGGAACCCGTGATGGAGAGAAGGAGAATTCGGAAAGTCCACCATTCGAGCTCTGTTGGTTGATTCAGTTGTGCATTTCCATCATCACATTACCAAAACAGGAGCCATATTCAGACAGTGACACCAATACAGGGGCAGCAAGTAGCATGTATGAGCCCTCTCCAGTGCGAGTAGAAGCACTACAGGTATAGTCTTACCTCTTGGTTCATTTCAAACAGAACTGGCTTTTATTTTAAGTCTAAAGTATTTATTGCTTGTTTAGTCTTTGTTTACTTTCTCCTCATATTAGTCTGTCTGGCTCATTGACTTTCTGCTGAAGGGAAAGACTAAAGATCTGCTCCTAAGTTTTCACTGGCACTTCGGTGGGAAGGTTTCCTAAACTTGAGTTCTTGGAAGTTATCTTGATATCTCATTCATACTGGAGTGTTGAAGAGGCTGCATTTCAGTCTTCCTTCAAGATTATTAATCATGCACTTCACTGAAGTAGCTACTCTGCTATTAAAGATTCAAAGTGCAAACAATCTACCAGCCAATGTATTTAGTGCCTGTGTAAAATATCAGGATTGTGACAGTTTATTCTCTAGTTGGTGGTTGAAAGGGTGGGGTTATGCACTGAGATTGAGCCATCCAGTTATCTTGAATTTCTTAATTTGTAAAAGTGCTGCTCTATGGAGTTGAGTGAAGCTGTTCTGTTAATCTGTTCCATGATGTGGCTGAAAATTGATGATTTCAGTCGCATTGCTTCTTTTTAAGAGAACAAACTTTTTGGCACTGGTTAGGTCATCTTTCCATCAAATATTAGTATTATCTGCCTTTTTGGCAGTAAAGTCTAAAATGCAATCTGGCAAAGATAACGCAGCATAAAAATGACCCCGAACTTCCAGTTGCCTGCCACTTCAATGCATCACCCTGGCCAACATCTCTACCTTGGGCCTGCTGCAGTGTATCACCGACACTCGGCACAAACTGGAGGAACAGCATCTTATTTTCCACCTGGGGACCTCACAGACGTCAGGACTCAATATCAAGTTCAATAATTTTAGAGCCTGAACACCACCTTCCATGTTTTTTTACACACTCTCACACCCCAGGTCCTCGCATGACGTAGGTTGCTTTCAGCACAGGTAACCCATTTTCACCCTCTTCTAGTCCCTGTTGTCACCAAACTAGCTTTCCTTCTTCCCTGGCTCATTATCAGAAATCCTTTTCTCTGCCTAACTTCTCCCCTTTCTCTCTTCGGCTCTGTCTCTACCTATCAGTTTACTCCTTTTTGCTCCAGCTCCTGTCATCAAGATGAACACCACTTCTTTTCCTGGATGCTGTCAGTTCTGAAGAATGTTCACTGGACTCGAACTGTTAACTCTGTTTTTCTCTCCACAGATACTGCCAGATCAGCTGAGTTTCTCTAGCAATTTCTGTTTTCGTAACACAACCGTTGTTGTTTCCCAAGTGTCACTGAGTGCATTGTGCCGTTTTTAAAGGCAGGTGGAGTTATGAATGGGATTTGACCAATTTCTCCTCAATTTTATGCTCATACGTCCTCTAGGTATTGGCGTTGCTTGTCAAAGGGTATTTCACAATGGCACAGACCAATTTGCTGGAGTTGGGAGAAGTAGCTTGTAAATGTATGGAGGAGCCAGATCCATCTATTCAACTGCATGGAGCCAGGGTAAGGAGAACACTAAAGTCGGGTTTGCCGTTTTCTTTGGGTGCTTTTTGTCCTTAACAAGGGTGAGGGATGATGAGAGTTAGGAAATGAAACACTTACCTGGAACTTCTGTAGGAGTTCTCCCCATCTACTGCTGCAATTTTTGGCAGAAATCCAATGAGAAACAGCTTTAAAACAAAAGGCTATTTGCGTTGTTTCTCCCCATATATCACTGAGGATTTCACAGAGGTTGCGTCACTTTCTGTTCAGAAGCAGGCATTAGTTTTAGATATTTACTGGTCAGACGTCCCGACAAAATGTGTCCACTCCAAGTTTGTGTTTCCAACGTTAAACCTCTTTGTGGCCTCTTTGCATGAATTAGCAGTTGCTTTGTGTAATGCGATTGCCCACTTCAAACTGTTAGGGATCTCGTTAATTTTCATTTCATGTAGATTTCTTATAGGCAGCACATGGCTTTCATCCCAGTAGTTTTTTCTTTTTGCTGGCACACAGTGCTTCAGCTCCATGCCTTATTTGTACTGAAACAAAGATCGGTGGAGAAGGTTGTCAAAGGATACAGCAGGACATAGACCAGTTGCAGATATGGGCGGAGAAATGGTAAATCGAGTTTAATCCAGGTAAATGTGAGGTGCTGCACTTTGGGAGATCAAATGTTAAGGAAAAGTATACAGTTAATGCCAGGACCCTGAACAACATTGATGTACAGAGGGATCTTTGGGTTCAAGTCCATAGCTTCCTGAAAGTGGCCATGCAAGTAGATAGGGTGGTAAAGAAGCATATGGCATGCTTGGCTTTATTGGTCGGGGAATTGAGTGCAAGAGTCAGGATGTCATGTTGCAGCTTTATAAGACTTTGGTTAGGCCACACTTAAGAGTATTGTGTCCAATTTTGGTCGTCACATTACAGGAAGGATGTGGAGGCTTTGGAGAGGGTGCAAAAGAGGTTTACCAGGATGCTGCCTGATTAGAGGGTATGAGCAATAAGGAGAGGATAGTAAACAACCTGAGGGTTTCTCTGGAGCGGCAGAGGCTGAGGAGAGAATTGATAGAAGTCTATAAAATTATGAGATGCAGAAGAGATCAGAATCTTTTTCCCAGAGTTGAAATGTGTAATACCATGGGACATATATTTAATTTGGGGGGGGGGAGTTCAAGGAAATGTGATGGGCAAGTTTTTATACAGAAAGTGGTAGGAGTCTGGGATGTGTTGCCAGGGGTGGTGGTGGAGGCAGATACAATAGGGGCATTCAAGGGACTTGTAGATAAGCACATGAAAATGCAAGGAATGGAGGGATATGGATCAAGGACAGGCAGAAGAGATTAGTTTAATTTGGTGTCATGTTCGGCACAACATTGTGGGCCGAAGGGCCTGTTCCTGTGTTGTACAGTTCTGTGTTCTGTGACTCATGGCATAATGTAGATTAGAAATAGGAGCATGGAAATATAACCTGAATGGAACTAGCCAATTTTTAACTTTTCTCCTCCCATTTTTTTCCGTTGCTATCTGGCGGACACTATTCCACTTTTTAATGTCAATGCCTCATATATTGGCCACTGCCTCTGCATAACCCTAGATGCTGGCCATTTCGACTATGAAGAAATCTCCGACACATCTGACATTGTCTTCACCAGATATATTTTCCAACTGGAGTGGTGTTGAGCCACTGCTTGATTTAATTCATTGTCTTGTTCCTGGACCAGAGTTCCTGTTGCCAATTGTTGCTCCCCTGGCTGTTCTGGTTGAGGTTAATTTACCAAAAACAGATTAATGGTGAGACATGGTACATTCCTGGTCTAGCTAAGCTAATAATCCACATTCTTGGCTTTGAAGAAGGTGCCTCTTCTCTTCTGCAGTCTTTAGCTATAAAGTATTATGCCCTTCATAGTTCAGATTTTGATGTGTCCAGTGTAGTTAGTCAGGCAGTATTTTTATGCCCAAATATTTTGACTTGGAGGTAGAAATTTAAAAGCAGCTTCCAGTGTACCAAGCTCCCTCACCAATATCAATTTGAAGTTAATGCAACTTTAACTCCTGCCCAACATGTACATTATGACGTTAAAATGTTCACTTTCTTACCAAGACCAATAGTGAAGAGCAGTATGTGTCTATGGAGTATCTGTCAGCCTAGTGCTAATATTTGAGCACTGCTGCAATTTTAAAAAGAAATACTTGAAACAGATAAAGGATTGCAGTGGTGTATGGCGATAAAGATTGGAGGAATTCTGTTTTGATTTGATCATTCTCTTGGAAGTGTGCTGTGCTGCAGCCAGTTTTGCTGTTCTTCTTACCTAGATGTCAAGACTAAATGTGGAGGATTACCATGGAGAAGCATTGGAGAATGACCACTGCTCATTAACTGCACACTGGTGAATTATTACCCTCAAGATTGCAGAGAGAAAATTAGAGAGTAAAAGGACCACCTTGAAGGGACATTATGCACTCTTTCTTCAGTGTGTCCCCGTCTGTTTCCCTCTGATCCTGTCTCCACCACACTGCAGCTCCTCCTGCAGCGAGGACCATATCCAGACATCTAATCCTGCCTCATGGCAACATGCAACTTTCTGATAAATGTTGTGTTTTTTTTTCAGCTGTTGGAGGAAATAGGCTCAGGGATTGTCCAGCAACATAAGCTGGACTCTCCCACACCCCTCAGTGACAGGGTGCTTGTCAACCAGGTATGTTATTACCTTCTCTCTCACTAGTTCGGTTTTTGCTTTGGATAAGTGCTTATTTCATAATTGATATAATTTGCTGCTCTTTGAACGGCTGCTGTCAATTTGTCTTCATAATTTGCTGTGACAATTTAATAGAGAGTTAGTATAAATTGGAATCAGCTAACATGTATTTTTATCAAATAATTTTATCTTTTCTTTATGGTGGTGCTATCCCACAACATGGATTTTCTGAACCAGTTATCTCCCCAGTTACGTACTGACTCCTGTTCATCGGGGAACGGTCCATGAGATCCAGGCCCTCAGGATCAGCATATTATTCAGAGGATAGTATATGATTGTTTCTCATCCTCCTGTGTCTGATCCTTTCAAGGATGGCTACGTCCATTCAGTACTCATCAGTGTTGAGTTTTCTGGTTGAATTTCCTTTTTCTAAACTGCTCCTGCCAATTGCAGCCCCTCGATGGCTATCTTAGATCATCTACCTCAGCAGCGAACATGGATTGAACTAAATATTTATTTTCAAACAGTTTCTGCCTGATTAGCCTAGGATGGGCCTGCCTCCAGTAATGTTACCCTCTGTGAGCAATTCCCATCTGCTGCTCTAAAACGGCATGGCTGACCTCTCAATGTCAACATGCCACACAGGGTGAATTGAGAACAAAGCTGAGATTTTTTTTGTCAGATCGGTTTAGCTCAGTTGGTTGGACTGTTGGTTTATGATGCAGAGTGATGCCAATAGTTTGGATTTGGTTCCCACATTGGCTGAAGTTAGCACGAAGGACTCATGGTTAAACCAGCAGTCATTTATATCCTTCAGGGAAGGAACCCTGCCATCCTCACCTGGTCTGGACTACATGTTACTCGAGAATGCACAGTATTGTGGCTGACTCTCAACTACCCTCTGAAATGGCCTAACAAGTCATTCAGTTCATGGGCAGCTGTGGACAGGCAATAAATCCTGGCCAGGTAGCAATGCCCAGGTCCCATGAGTAAATAATGAAAAAGCAATCCTATAGCCTGGTAAGACCACAGCAACTACTTTCTTGTAGAATCTGATTGTTTTTTTGAAAAAGCAAAAGAGCACATGACATTATTGGTCCATGAACAGAATCTGAACAACTTAGGATCAGAGCTATGTAATGATCACGCCTCTTCAATTGAAGCATTTACAGCGGGTATGTGCTCACTAACTGTGGTTTCCAACTCTGCTGTGTTCATCAGACTGTTCAGCACAAGTTCTTCCTGTCTGGGTCTATTTTGTATACTGAGGTGGGATCATCTCTTTCAATGCAGGTTGTGACCTTCTGGTCCAGAATGTTGAATGGTCCTTTGCCAGGAGCATTACAGAATGATGAACATCCTACGCTCCAGACCAGCACTTGTGATGCAATTTCTTCAATTTTACCAGAGGCTTTTAACAGTCTTCCAGTAAGAATGACTGAGAAATACAGTTAACTATATTTCTTTTCTTGCTGTCCTTAGGCCTTGTTATAACAGGGTAAAGCTTTATTGTATGTCTTATTGGGGGAAAAAAATCATATGGAATGTATATTGTCAACACACCTCTCCAAAATGTAAAATGATCTGAAATGCAGTGAATGTTGTTAGGAAAGTAAATACAGTAGCTGTTTTGCACAGGACAAGAGATGAATGAATGAGGTAATGTGTATTTGGTGGAGTTGATTGAGGACTGACTGTTATTCTTAAACCCGCACCAGCAGTGCGAGCACTTTGAGGCCTCATTTAAACGATTTATGACCATGTGGCACTTATTCAGTTCTGCACGGAATAGGTTATTGTTTCAAACCCTGGAGAGGGACATGAATGGAGAGCCTTGTTTACAAGAGCAAGACTTAGCTTCTGTGCCCAAATGATTCTTCTATCCTCCCAAAGCATCAAATTCATTTTAACCCTATTGGCAACATGGCTGGATGAATTGTCGATGACTTAGGTGATTGCTCAGATACCCATTACCTTTGCCCACTTAACTAAGTTTAGAAACATAGGAACGGGAGCCAGTAGGATACAGTAGACCATTCAGCTCCTTGAGCCAGCTTCAGCATTCAAACATCATGGCTGATGATCCAGCTTTGTGCCACTTTTTCTCAACTATCCCCACGGTTGATGTCCTCAATATCGAAAAATTTATCAGTTTCTAAATCTTGAGCATGTTCATTGATTGAGCTTCCATAGTCGTTTGGGGGTTGATAATTCCAAAGATTCACCACCCTCTAATTGAGGAAATTCCTCCTCATCTCAGTCTTCAGTGGCCTACCCCTTATTCTGAAACTGTGACCCCTGCTTCTAGACTTACCAGCCAGGGGAAACATTTTATCCACACCAATCCTGCTACACATTTCAAATAAAATGGATGAAGGCTGGAAAATTGGAAATGAAAATTATTGTACTATTTTGGGAAAACTCAGGCAAATTGCTAGACTGTTATTCTATACTTGGTTACCAGTAATCATTTGTGTTGCAGTGTCCATTTCCAGAGGGACATAGCAATAAAATGGGAGCATTTTACTCATAGGCCCTGGTTTCTGGGACGCAGCAACTTGGCGAGATGAGAAATGGAAGAACTATGAATACAATCATGGGTACATGCAAAATTAAAATGGGTAGACAATAGAATGAAGTATAAATGAGTACTATTCAGTTTGACATTGCAACATATGTTGAGGGATACCAGTTTCACACTTAGCCTTTTTACTATCCAAATTGGCAGCACCTCATTAGCACACAATAATTAACCATTGACACATGCACCGGAGAGGGAAACTAAGAGCTTACATTCCTGGTCTCTCTCTGATGACAAGCTAGTTCTTGTTGCTGGTGGAGGAAGATCAGAATTGTCTTCACATGAGAAGTCTGTCTTTGGTTGAAGATCATTTTTGAACTGATTGTCTAGAATCCCACATGTGGAATAACCACTTGGGTGGGGTGTTAGTGAGCTGGCAGTCTGTGTGGTTGTTACCCCAGCATTCCTCAGTACCTCCAGAGAAGAGAACATTGGTTATCTTACTGTGAAACGAGAAGAGAGAATTTAGTAGCCGAAAGGGATTAATGAAGAAATTAGAGTTTATAGATGAGTGTAAGCGTTGTATCTAAATGAGCTGTTTACCTGTGGATGTTAACATTAATGTAATGGAATTGTCTTGTTAGAATGAAAAGCAGATTCTGTGCATAACCATGTTGCTCGGGCTCAATCACAGTGAACATCCTCTGGTCAAGGCAGCTGCCGTGCGAGCCCTGGGTGTTTACATCCTCTTCCCCTCGCTCCGACAGGTCAGTACATCTTATAGTTATACTGTTAGTTGCACAGCCTGCTTTACTAGCTATAGAGATTTTGTCATGACTTGGTGATAGACTGTGTGTCCATATGGCACCGAAGGGTATAAAATCATCTCTCGTTGCTGATATTTGGTGCTTCACAAACTTAAAGACAAAGGAAATGTAACTACTGAGATGCTCGCATTAATAATAACTGCATGAGTGAAAGAATAGTGGCGACCAATGGAACTGTACCCATTCAAGAAAAGGGGAGAAAATTGGGGTAGAGAAATTTTTTAAAAAATACACTTGAGTACTTGATAAATGAGCAGGGCTAGGAACACAAAGGAATTCTATATAAAATGCCTGCTGATGTCTGGCCATCTGTGACCAACATCTAACCCTGGACTAATAAAATATTTCTGTTAAGCATCCCCTGCCCGTTGTACAATCCACACCCCTTGTCGCATACATTTACTAAATTTTAAAGTGTGTTTTTATACAGTTATTGTGAAACTGTTAGTGCTTCTTACACACATGCAGGTGTTGTAATGGGAATTATAAAGAACTACACAGGTCTTTGCAAGTATAGATACTATTTTACTTAAGTTTTATGTATGTATGTTGCTACAATTATGTAGTTTATGGCCTGATGAGTTTTCTGCATTTGATCTATTTCTTGCCTCCTGTATGATGCAGTTTCTATTATGACCCGCTGAGCAGGGAGCAGCGCCTCATTAAGGCTGAAATTAAATCATTAATCTGCATAAATTCTTGGCCTCTGAATTCCTCTTTGCCCCTGATAACATGAAATAAGATTCTTGCCAGTTTTTGTTTCATTGTAATTCCTTTTCCGTACTCTTGTTGAAGACTTATCGCTGGCTCCTTTTGTCTATCTTAACCTTTTCTGTGGAAACTCCATAATCAATGGACAAAGCACTTTTCCACATGGCTGGCATTGATGGGTGAGGTTGTAAAGTGTTGCACAAGGTTGTAGAAATAGACTTCGACTAACTCACGCTGAAAGTTTGCTGTTGGAAGTTATTGGAGGGAACAAATGGTGCAGTAGGGTGGACAATTTTTCTCATACCTATTAAATTTTGCTTTGGATAGGATGAAATTTTCCCTTCTTCTCCACAGAAAATTATTTCTTAACCTTACCTCAATTTCTGGTGAATTTGAGTTTCTAGGAAATGAAGAAAGAACTTGCATTTCTATATCTTCTAAAGTTCATTGATGCAATGTGGACATCTCAGGCTAAGTCAGTATTTATTGCCCATCCCTACTTGTTATTGAGAACGTGGTGGTGAGTCACCTTCTTGAATTGCTGCAGTCCTTGAGGTGTAGGGACATCCAAACTGCTGTTTGGAAGGGAGTTCCAGGATATTGATATGGTGATTGTGAAGGAACGGCAATATAGTTCCAAATCAGGATGGTGTATGGCTCAGAGGGGAACTTGCAGGTGGGAATTGCATACAGCACTTAAGTGAGTGATAGCTAATGAACGACAAGATTCCACAATGGCTCTGTATTAATGAACAGGTAATTGTTTTAACCTTACTGGTTGAGGGATAAATGTATGCCAGGATACTATGTTAAGGAGAGTTCTTCAGCTCTTCTGCACAATAGCGCTGTGGAGCCTATTTGTTTCAAAGGGAAGCTGGAGCCTCTGTTTAACATTTAATTGAACAGAGCAGACTCTCTACAAGCATGGCACTCCCACAGGCAGGAAGCCCTGAAGTGTTAGCCTGACTTCTGTGCTTGTGGAACTTGAAGCTACAATTTTCACACCCAAAGGAGAGAGTGTTACTATCTGGGGCGTGGCTAATCCCTAATATAAATATATCTATTAATAAGCACAAATTGACATGCAGTGGCAGTCCTTATAACAGACGAAACAAAGCTAGCTGATTTTCCAATTAGTAAAATTATGCAAGTATGCCTACTTCAGAGATATGTTGTAAAATCTCTGATCAGGTTGGTTGGACAATATCTACAAGTACACTTTCTGAGTTTGGAATTGTAATAGAAGAGGCATAAATTCAGTATGGCAGTAGATTCGTTGTTTAAAATGAAATTGTTGCATTTTTATTTGTATTGGTTTATTAGCTTGAAATTCCTTCATATTTGCCTTAAGGAGCACTTATATTCCACTTTCTTTCTTCACACAACAGGATGTGATGTTTGTGGCTGACACTGCGAATGCCATCCTGACTTCCTTGGATGACAAATCCCTGAACGTTCGTACCAAGGCAGCCTGGTCACTGGGCAATCTCACAGACACCTTAATTGCTAACATGTATGTTTCTGTGGTTCCCTTATGTTTACATCCTTTTAAGTGTACTGAGTTGGCATGGCTTGCTGAGTTTTGTTAATGAACTAGAATTAAAGCCTTGGCACGATGACAGTATATTGAAGCTGCCATAGATAACTACAACAACTTGTGTAGCACCTTTTACATAATAAAATGTCCCAAAGTACTTCACAGGAACGTTACAAAACAAAATATGACACTGAGCTATAAATAATTTATTGACCTAGATGACTAACAGTTTGGTCCAGGAGATAGATTTTGAAGGAGGTAAACAAGAGGTAGAGAGACAGAGTGTTGTAGGGAGGGTATTCCAGAACTAGGCAACTAAAGTTGCAGCCACTAATTGTGTGTTAGACTGCTAATCGTCTGTTTACTGAAGCAGGAAGCAGAAGTCATTCTGTCTTACTAAACTCTTTTATTTGCTTTCCATCGTTCAATACAAACTCGAGTCTGCTGTCTCCCCTGCCTGACCAGCTCCCCTTCCTGAAAAAAAACCAGCCTTTTTTACCTTTTTTCTTTTATCCAGAAGTGTTATCACATACAACTGAATGGCTTTTTCTAAACCATACCCCCCCGCCCCCCTGCCACCATCAAATCACCTATGGGGGAAAAAAAGCCGCTTTTCTTGAAATCACCTTGTTATTACACACCTCTGGAGCAGGTGGGGCTTCTGGACCAGAGGTAGGTCCTCCACCTCTGTGTTACAAGAGCCACAAAAACAGCCCCTTTTTTTCTGTATCCAGAAGTGCTGTTACATACAACTGAGTGTTTTGTTTTCCCTAAGCAAGTCACCTATGCTATTATTATTGCTCCTGTTATCCACCACTTGTAAATCATCCGTGTTTTCCTATTGATTAACTTACATGTAAAGGCAATACAAATCTTCAAGAAGGAGGGGGAGGGGGCCAAGCCAAAATGGAGCTAGCAGGGGCGATAAAGCATTTCAACTCCTGCACTGCCCGCCTGTCTGTAAAGGCATTGAGAATATTGGTGTGCTCCCTCTCCAAGGACACTCGGGCATGAGTGTAGCCATGGAACAGAGATGGACAATCACCAGCTATGACCCCCTCCAGAGCCACTGCCTGGACCTGTTTATAACCAGCCTGGCCAGGCCCAGGAGCAGACCCATCAGGAGGACCTCTGACTTGCATATACCCTCCACTCTGGGATGCCCAGTGATCAGGATTGTGACACTGAAGGGCAATCAAAAGCACAACAAAAGATTTTTCAACTATCTGATAACGCCAGCAGTGTTCAAGGAATATTCTAATCAACCTGTTCAAATGCTACGACACACTTCTGGAGTAGGTGGGACTTAAATGCGGGCTTCCTGACACAGAAATAAGGATGCACAAAAACAGCCTCTTCTCCCTTTTATACAAAGAAGTGTTGTTAACACAACTGAACATTGTTTTTTTCTATTATCCAATCACCAATGGTATTATTTTTTTCATCTATTAGCCACCACCAATAAATCACCCATGTTTTGTAATTGATTAGTTTACATGTAAAGCCCTTTAAGGGCAAACCATCAAAGGTGGGGGTGATTTACAGTGAGGGGGAAGGGGCAAAATCAAAATGGAGTTGGAAGGGGTAAAACCTTAAATATATGTGCCAATGAGCAAAGGCTGCTCGCTCATCTCTGGAGCAAGCCCTGGTTCATTCTTTACAAATTCTCATTGTGGAGCGATTCAAAGATTCTACTTGGTGAGTTTACTGAAATAATCAATGATTAAATATGAACACAGGGATCAAGTGCTGGTCTGCCTCATGTAAAGAGCAGTTTAGATAAAGGACCTACCGCTATTCTCACTGGGACTGCTGGTGTCCATTTGCTCATGCCTGGTTGAATTCTGACCTGGATACCTGGTTACCCATTTTCTGAGAGTTTCTGCTGGTATCTGTCAAGGGAACCCAAAGAACCTAGATTAAAGGGAGGACAAAAGTTAGGGGAAACCCAAGACACTCAGCTATAGAGGGGAGCTTTGGTGACCTTGCTGGTGGATAGCAAATATTAGCAGATAATTGGGAGTTTGCAGAATTAAATCGTGCATGGAGGATGCTATAAGACCCTAGATGTATTAAATATTTGTCTTAATTTATACAAGTAGGAAAACAAACATGAAGTGAGGCTACACTTACGTAGGGCTTTGAGTAGTAAAAATGTTAGATAGTCAGGAAGGTGGCTATTTAAGGTTCTGATCTAATGTTCAAATGATTCACTTGTACTACCTTACATCTCCTAAGGGAGTCCATGGGGCTGGGTTTCCAAGAGGAGTTTTCAGATGTTCTGCTACTGAAGATGTTGAAATCAGCTACACATGCATCCAATGATAAAGACAAGGTACGAGACTGATGGATGAAAACCTTCTAATCTTCTCGTGTTTCCTCTCTGTAAATATTTATGTACCTTTCTCTATCTCATCTTCTGATTCTCCCCTTCTCTGTTTTCTGTGGTTATCTGCCATAAGGAAATCTTATGTATTGTGTCCTTCTTGTTAAGTCTTTCACTTACTTTCTTTATAACAAACTTGTATCATCTCTTTTGTTATAATGCAGCATTACCATTACCTATGCCATGGGAACTGTGCCAGTGTTGCATTGAAATTGATTGGTTAGGCTGCTGCAGATGCCACACATTATTAGGGATGCAAAAATAATCTTAAGATGCTGTGTGATTCTCAGCTGCTGCCTGAAACTAATGAGTACATTAAACATTAGCAACATTTCTGATCGAACAGCAGTTAAACTTAGAATGAGCCAAGGTCCTGTTCACCTAGCAGTTAGACTTTACTTCCTTAAAAGGATATAGTACCTTGTTAAGTGCTAAGGCTCATAGTACATGGTGTAATAATTCTGTTTTTACTGTTGGAAGTAGGAATTGGAGTAGGCCATCTGGCCCCTTGATCCTAATTTTTTACCCCTGCCATTGCGTCATGTCCTCCTCAAAACCAACATACTCTTATGTCATCAGCAGAATTGGAAATATTACAATTAGTCCCGATATCCAGATCCTTGATTTGGATAAAGAATAGCTGGGTCATAAACTCTCGAACCTGTGATACTCCACTAGTCATTGCATACCGATTTAGTAATGACCTGTTTCTTCCTACTTGTTTTCTGCCATTATCACAACTTCAATTCATGCCGATCCATTAACCCAATCTCATGTGTTCTAATTTACAGCTTTTACAGTCCATTTTATGTTTCTCACATGTCTTCTTTAATATTCTGTTTTCCTTTTTTAACGTTTCTTAGTTCTTCTTTGCAAAGTTCTAGAATTCTCCCAATCTTCAGTTTTGCTACCTTTTTGGTAACTTTACAATCCTGTTGCTTTTATGTAACAATCTTTAACATCTTCTGTTAGCCATTGTTGGATCACTTCTCCTGTTGGGCTTTTGTGGCTCAAGGAGTACATATTTGTTGTGAACCATGTATCAATTCTTTAAATGCTAGCCATTGTCTGTCTATCACTATACCTTTAATGTGGTTTCCTAATCTACAAACCAACCTGTCCATCCTACCTTTTTAGTTTCCTTTGTTTAGATTTCAGACCCTAGTTTTGGATTGTACCTCATCACTTTCAAACTTCATGTTAAATTCCATCATATTATGACCATTCTGCCCTAAAGACTCCCTTACAGTGAGATTTATTAATTAACTTGTTCTCATTACAAATACTCAATCTAAATCGCCCTTTCTCCAGTTGCTTCCTCAACATACTGTTCTAGAGAAAATACACGCCTTGTTTGTCCTGCGCAGCATTATTGCTGAATACTTTCACTCAGTCTGTATATGTAGATTAAAATCTCCTTGAGTTCTTGTATTATACATCATAGATGCACCTCTAACTTCCTGATTTATTCAGTGCCTTGTATTACCATTGCTGATGATGGCCTATGAATAATTTCTTTCAATGATTGCTACCTCTTGCTTCTTAACTCCAGCCAAACTGATTGTACACTCTGATCTTCTGATCTGTGAATAACATATCAATCACATCGTATACCAAAAGCACTACTCCAACTTCTTTTCCATTTGCCTATCCTTCCTAAATGTCAAATACTCTTGAATATTCAGTTCCTGCCTTGGTTGGGCTGCAGCAATATCTCTGAAAGTGCAATCAAATAATAACTATTTACTTCTATTTGTATGGTTAATGCAATTGCCTTGTTGCAAATGCTATGTGAATTCGGACAAACTGCCTTTAATTTCTAAAAACCAAAAGAACTGCAGATGCCGTAAATCAGAAACAAAAATAGAGATTGCTGGAAAAGCTCAGCAGGTCTGGCAGCATCTGTGGAGAGAAATCAGAGTTAATGTTTCAGGTTGAGTGACCCTTTGGAACCTTTTAATTTTTGCCTTTATAAGCATTTCCTGTATTTGATTTTGCCTTTGTTTCTGTTGACTTTCAATTTCATTTCTAACTTTTCTTCCTACCATTACTAGCTTTGTTTTTCTGTCTGAATGCATTCTCAAGTTCCTATATTGAACCAAAACAAAGAATTGTAGATACTGGAGATCTGAAACAAAAACAGCAAATGCCGAAGAAACACTTTGAACCCAGGTCTGTGGAGAGATAAACAGAGTTAACCTTTTGTGTCCAGTGACCATTTGTCAGACCTGGATTCAAAACGTTAACTCTGTTCTTCTCACCACAGAACCTGCCAGACCTGCTGAGTTTGTCAGCACTTTCTGTTCTTGTTGAAGCTTGTTTAAGCCCTGCCTGACAGCAGTAGCAAATCTCCCTGCAAGGATATTGATCCCAGTCCTGCTAAGCTGTAAAATGACCTCCTTGTGCAGACCCCACGTGCCACGGACACGTCCCAAGACTTCAGAAATCTGAAGCCTTTCCTCCTGCACCATCTCTAGCCACCAGTTCATTTGCTGCATCCTTTTATTTTTGTATTCACTAACACATAGCACTGGGAATAATAAACAGATTACCACCATATATTGTAGCAGCAGATTTGATTTGGTCTGACCCAGGAGATCTGATAGTCCATATGTATCCATCTTTAATTTTTTTTTTACACCTGCATATACTTCCATCATTAATTGTGTTCACATTTATAATTAAATTGTCTCTGTAAATGTAAATTTATCACATTGTAATTACACCCTCCTGGAAGTAACAGTGCTGTAGCATCTTTTGTATCTAATGACAATATGACAAGTTTACGTAACCTGTTTCCAATGTAAATGTAGATAAATAAATTTATTATGGAAAATATGCAAACAAAGACAAAATTTGTGACTTAAAATGCGAATTGCATTATACATTTGCGTGCTCTGATTCAAATGTATCCCACCCTATAACTTGCTCCTTTCTGAAGATTAAGCTTCATGTAGATTAGATGTATGGAATGCCAAAGCAGATTGACCAGCAGGTACCTGTAAGTCTTGCATTGTCAAAGTACTAGAAAAGGAGGAATGCAGTTAGTAATTTGCTACTGTTTTTTTTTCTGTTCTTGGAAACCTGTCATCAACCTGTGCAGGAACCAGAGATTTACATGTGGTTCCCAACCTACCAAATGTTTTCTCAGTAATCAATTTTGAATTAGTCCAGTTTCTTGCTGGGAGGTTGGTGGTTATATTCTAGATATTCTAGACTGAATATATAGTAGCAGAGCGTCCAACCAGACCCTATACTATCTGTAAACAATGATCCTGACTGGTTTTATTTAATGAATAACATTTATGTTACAGTCAATAGGAAATCAAACTGGTGTCCACTCCAACATTATTAATGTCAGTTCATAAAGTGTGTTACAGATATTCCACATGACTTCAATCAAGGGCTTATATTTCTATCGCAATCATGCAAACCAATTAGTAAGTGAATGAGAGACCCAATGCATTCTTCCCAGCTACAGCTGCTGCATGGGATGAGCTGCCAAAGCATGTCTTCTCTTCTGGAAAAGTATTCTGAATCTCACTACAGATTTAGAAGAAGATGGAATTAAATGTAGCCATCTGATCGCCTCTGGTCATGATTCAATATGTTTCTCTGACGTACTAGCTGTTGGATATAGGCGTGTTTAGAATGCAGACAATTATAATGAGCATGGAGTCTAGATACTCCAGATGAAACAGGGGAAATTACAGTACTTTTTTTTTTTTGTACAATAATTCTGAAATTCATTTATGGACCTGAAAGGGAGTGTAAGATCCTCAGTGGGTGGATGGCGAGGGGGAAGTCTCAGTTTCCAAAGTGAAAACGCTTGAATGTCTGAAATGATAGGAAGAAAACAGCGCAGTAACCTCAGATAATATCAGCAAAATGATTTGAGTAATCAAAGGTTCAGAGCAATTTTGCTGTTTCACAAATAAAATTATTTCAGGTCTCCATGGAGATTATTTCATAGGGGATTAATTTTTAAGATTGCCATTGATGCTGCAGAGACTATATGAGTATTGAACTGACATTTGTCTTTTCACTGCAGGTCATTTAGAATTAATTGTAGAGTTGCCAATTTTTTACTGCTCCTCCTTGCAGTACAACTCATAGCCATCGAAACAAGCTATCTACTAACTAAACGCACAGCAGGTTTTAAGGGATGAATTCCACTTGATACCTGTGATCACGGATGTGCCTATGTATATATTGGAAGGTTTTTCAGTGACTGACTCAGGCTTGTTGCTGAGTTCACCTGCTCACTCCAATGAAATCCTGAACAAACTCTAGATTTGCAGACGTCTGGATGGAGTTTCTCTTCTTTCCTATATGCTGCCACTGCATGGTTCACATTCAGGAATGTGGAATTTGCCACGAGGTGATGTTTCTACACCGACTGCATGAATTGTGATTTGCTGTCCAAGTCCCACAGTTGTGCAAAAGTAAAAGTCTTGCAATGCATCCGAGCAAGTAATAATTTAGTAGCTTTATGCTCAACTACAGCTAATCTCTGTTCCGAGATCTCTTGACAAGGCTGTGTGAAAATGATCAGGTGATGGAATTTCCCTTTAATGCTCTTCTCTGTGGAGAGCTCTGATCGGAGACTTCACATGACAAAGCTCCATCCTACTGTTCTGTGGCACAGAACCAAAGTACTCTGTCCCTCCATGCCTGGATTTGTTTGTTTTGGTTACGCCTGATCCCAATTGTGTTTCTGTTATGCAGGTGAAAAGCAATGCTGTGCGAGCTCTAGGCAATCTGCTGCACTTCCTGCAGCCTCATCACATCTCCAAACCCCAGTTCAAGGCCAGCATTGAGGAGTCAATCCAAGCTTTAATCCGCACTGTTCAGAGCGAGGCGACCATGAAGGTGCGGTGGAATGCATGCTATGCATTGGGAAATATGTTCAAAAACCCAGCTATTCCACTTGGTATGTATTGATGTTGATCTGTTTCAGCTTTAGGATTCATTAGTTTGGTGCATGGAACTCTTTAACTATTTTAACACTTTACATCTGAGAATTTCTTGTGTTTCTTTGGTTTAACTGTGTATAGGATGATATCTGCTGAACAACATTCTTTTAATCAGGGTGCTGCTAAATAATGTTTGTCCCTGTCGTTGGTTAACGGGGAGGTGATGGCCTAGTGGTATTATCGCTGGCCTCTTAACCCAGAGACCCAGATAATGTTCTGGATTCGAGTCCCACCACGGCAATAAAAATCTGCAATTGAGAGTCTAATGATGACCATGAATCCATTGTCGTTTGTTGGAAAAACCCATCTGGTTCACAAATCTCCTTTTGGAGAAAGAAACTGCCATCCTTACTTGGTCTGACCTGCATGTGACTCTGAACTGCCATCTGGGCAATTAGGGATGGGCAATAAATGCTGCCTGGCCTGGCCAGTGATGCTCGCATCCCGTGAATGAATAAAGAAAGAAAAGAAAACTTAAGGTCGATTGTAGTGTTCTATCTCTGGTTTGAATGACATGGCCAAACTCCTCTCAGACTAGGGGTTAAACCTGGGATCTTCCTAGGCATTTTTAAAATGTATTTTCAGACTCCATGTCTTTTGTTCAAACCTAGAGTACCAGACCACTTACAGACTGAAGGGAGCAGAGACAAATGTTTTATTTTAAAATCATTTCTGTCCATTTTTTTTTAATCTGCAATGTTTTGAAGGTGAGGATGCTAGCTTTAAAAGTCAGTTGGCAGCACTCCTGTCTCTGAATTAGAACATCATGGGTAAAAGCTGCACTCCAGAATTTGTGCAGATGCTTTAACCTGACTATTCCAGATCAATGATAGTAGGAACTGCAGATGCTGGAGAATCTGAGATAACGTGGTGTAGAGCTGGATGAACACAGCAGGCCAGGCAGCATCAGAGGAGCAGGAAGGCTGACGTTTCGGGCCTAGATCCTTCTTCAGAAATGTCCCCTGTGGTTTCACGCTCCCTGACAGAAAACTTTCTGTTGGCTCACTCACTTACTTTCCTTTCTTTCTAACTTAACCCTGCTTACTGCTCGTCCAATTACAGACTGTTTCTCTCCTGTGTTTACTGCTGATGGGCTCAGTACCAACCTAAGAAGAGCAAATGCGAGGGGGAACCCAAGCTGTGATTGGAGGAGCAGCTCCTCAGATTATACTTACGGGGGTGCCACAGTGGCTCAGTGGTTAGCACCGTTGCCTCTCAGCACCAGGGACCTGGGTTCAATTCCGGTCTTAGGTAATGGTTCGTGTGGTGTTTGCACATTCTTCCTGAGTCTGCGTGGGTTTCCTCCAGGTGCTCCAATTTCTTTCTACAGTCCAAAGATGTGCAGATTAGATGGATTGGCCATGCTAAATTGCTCATAGTGTCCAGGGATGGATTAGCCATGGGAAATATGGGGTTCACTTTAATTGCTAGTAGTGGCATGTTGCCTTATACAAAAATGCTGCAAATCAACATTGGGATTGGCTGTGTGTAAAGGAGTAACTTTCAGCGATATTTCGGAAGATGCTGTCTTTCATTTGGGAGATCGAAAGCACGAGCTGTGCCACCTAGTGGTGGATTTGGAATCAGCAGCTTTCCTATTTGAGATATATAAATGTCAGAGCCTCTCTGGTCACTTGCAAGAAGTGCTGGTCAGTAGGCCTCCATTCACAACTCAGCCAGCTGATTTGATTTGATTCATTTATTGTCACTTGAAAAGCTTTGTTTGCAAGAAGTATAGGCAGATCGCAGTAAGCAAGGACATACAGATCATTGGGTGGTAAAAATCTTGGACAGAATAAGGCATACAGGTTAAACCGCACATGATGTGCACTAGACAAGATCAGCAGTATTTGAAGTTAGAGAGTCCATTCATCAATCTAATAATGGCAGGGAAGAAGCTGTTCTTGAACCTGTTGGTGCAAGTGTTCAAGCTTCTGTATCTTCTGCCTGAGTTTGTAGGAGAGCATTATCACGGTGCGATGGGTCTTTGATATTGGCAGCTTTTTTGCGGCAATGAGACGCATAAATGGAGTCCATGGATGGAAGATTAATTTCTGTGATTGGCCTGGGCTGTGCCCACAACCTTCTGTAGTTTCTTATGGTCCTGGGCAGAGCAGTTGCTTTACCAGTTGCTGTTACGCACCCTGACGGTATGCTTTCAATGGTGCACATGTAAAAGTTGGTGAAGGTTCTTATGGACACGCCAAATTTCCTGAGCCACCTGAGGAAGAAGAGACACTGTTGTGCCTCTTGTTGAGCTGAAGGGCAGTCATAGAGTCATACAGCACAGAAACAGGCCCTTTGGTCCAACTCGTCCATGCCGATCAAGTTTCCAAAGTAAACTAGTCCTGCTTGTTTGCATTTGGCCCATTTCCCTCTAAGCCTTTCCTATTCATGTACCTTTCCAAACGTCTTTTAAATGTTGTAACTGTACCTGCATCTACCAGTTCCTCTGGCAGTTCATTCCACCTACGAGCAACCCTCTGTATGAAGATGTTGTCCCTCATGTCCTTTTTAAATCTTTGTCCTCTCACCTTAAACCTATGCCCTCGAGTTTTGAACTCCCATACCCCAGGAAAAAGACCTTTGCTATTCACCTTATCTATGCCCCTCATGATTATATAAACCACTATAAGGTCACCTCACAAAATGACCCCACAGGATTCCCTTTCCCTCACACTTCAGTTAAAATGGGCAACCGAATGCAAAACCAATATCTACGGAGAAATGAAAAGCAGCCTGCTAAATAACTAGTAGTTTGCAGAAATACCTATTCTCACAAATACTGAGTGCTATGTTTACATTAACACCTGGCCATAGTGCAGGATTGGAACCCAGCAGGTCTGGGGAATAGTGGGGTGAAGACCCACATGTCATCACCCTGTTTTGCAGCAATTTAAGGTATTATGAACTTAAGTAAAAAGTCAGGGAGCTGGGGTTAAAACACAGAGGTTAGCAGTTTTGGAGGCCAGACTGTGGATTACCCAAAGGTGTTTTCTACTGAATAGTTTCAGTGTTCCAGTGAACTGAAAGCAGAGCTCCGTGTTTCTCATTGTGACTGTTCCTTACAGACTCGGCTCCCTGGGCAGCTCAGGCTTTCAGTGCCTTGATCTCGGTGGTGAAAACCTGCAAGAACTTCAAAGTGCGCATCAAATCGGCCATGGCCCTCTCCATCCCCTACAGCCGTGAGCGCTATGGGGACAGCAAACAGTTCAGCGAGATTTGGAACGCGCTGGTGCTGGCGTTGGAAAAGAGCGAAGAGACAGAGGACTTCCTGGAGTTCAAGTACTGTGCCAGTCTGAGAACTCAGATCTGCCAGACGCTGTTGCACCTCCTCCACCTCATCAGCGCTGAGGACCACCCCTGCATCAGCAAAACTGTTTCAGAGAAAGGGGACTTAATCCGAACCTTTGTTCAGCGCTTTCTCACTTCAGGGGTGGAGGCTGATGAAACTCGGACAGACCCTCAGGATAGGGTCAGGATGTTGCAAAAGGCCTTTCAGCACCTACGCAGCCTTCAGGAGGTTCCGTTGGAGGAGAGAGAACGGGTTGCCAAATACCTGGATGAAATCTTGAAACATTGCGCAGAATCCACAGGCCCACAGAGTGGTGTGAAAGATACTCAGGAGTGAAGAGTTCTGCTTGAACTCTGCCTACTTCTTGCTGCATGTCCAATGCTTATGAACATTACAACAGCTCTGTCTGTTTTGCTTTTATTACAGCTTATTAAAAGATGAAGGTAGGGGGTGCCCTTTGTGCATCCATGTGTTAGACGCTCACCTTCCTCCTCTGGGTCTTTGGGGTCACACTTGGTGAACATCAATAAGTTGAAAGTCCATTTTGTCCATGAGTATGAAGGCTCTTACATTTTTGTATTGTTTCAATCCAGGTTGCAGTGGACAGGAGCCCTGAGCATGTGAAAACTGTCCCAAATTCTTCAACGGCCTCTTCCAGAGAGGCTGAAAAATGTCACACTGGTGCAGTTAGAGGGGTGTTTTTCTTAAGTTATGAACCGAGTACAGGGTGCGTCACTTTGTGTCTAACCTGGTGTGGGAGTGCCCGATGGTGACACAGGATGCCTATGATGGAAGGGGCAATGATCATCAGCACTAACATCCTCTGTTTGACAATTTTTTTGTTGTTGACGTGTGGGTGGAATATTGAATAAACTGAAATGCTATTGAGATGCCACACTGTATTCAATGCAAGTGGGTGGCAGTGCTGTGGAGTGGAATATTTTCATTATATATCTAATGACTGATCTATTTCCCTCAGACTGTCGGTCAGTGAAGTATTTCTATTTGTAATTTTTTTTTAAACCTTGTAGCACCAACACAACATTTTCCACTCCCACTCCCTCAACACCGTCAGCCAAGTGTTACAGAAACTGGAGTCATTACATTTTTCAGTGTGTTGTGATATTGATCAGACTGACAGGGAGTGAAATTAAGACCATTACACACAATGGGAACAGGCAAATGAGTTCTGGATGGATGCGATAAGCTCTTTTGCCCTGGCATTCTGTTTTTGTTCCCAGACTGCATTCCCAGCTCCATTCCTGTTCCTAACCCCAGCAGGCTGAAGACACAAATGCCGTGTATTTAAACAGGCTTCAGCTAGGGCTCTGATCTCTAAGGACTTGATTGACATGATGTCAAGGTATTTAGGCTTTGTTAGGGAACCCACAGCTACACTTCATGTTTCGATTCCATTTGCACTGAGGATTATTGACCCCACTTCATATTTGCAGTCTAAAAATAGTATTGCAAAAATCAGAAATGAATTCATGCTGACACCATTGGCAGATCCCCTCAATAATTGATCAATCCCCACCTTTAACTCCTGGCAGCCACTCGGATCCATTCTTGGGATTTACAGCTGCTGAGTGTCAAGGGATAGGACTGAGGCCAGAAACATTTTTCACAGATGTACTGTGTTGGACTTGCGGCAGTCTTGGTGAAGAAACCTTTTCACACAGAGGTACAAAAATCAATACGCTTCTCAAACCATTTGTGACCCAGAAGGAGCAAAGACATTTTTTGGCACTTTGTCTGAATTGATAGAATGTAATTTGTGCCTTTTTCCCTGTTCCCTGCCTAAAAGCTGCTTGCCACTGCACGGACAGCCTGAAATAATTCAGTAATATTTAAATTTAAATAATATTTTTAAAAAGCTGCAGATCAACAGTTACCCCAATATTAAATAAAAATTGGGCAAAGCTGTGCAAATGCTAGTTTATGGCTGCACCATGTTAAACAGTGATCCTGATTTAATGGTGGGAATGACAGTGAAACTGTTAGAATTCACCATCATTACTCTGCTGAAAGAACAATTCTGGGAGCATGCGTGCGCACAGAATAACATGGAAATCTGAAAGCTGCTATCAGTAATTCTGTACTTTGAAGAAGATGCGCAGCAGAGTTTGCCCAGAGTGCAGACCGTTTAAAAAAAAATCAGTGAATTGATGAGATCTTCCACTCTTATTTACACTTGTGGTCTCACTGTATAAAACAAAGATGCTTGAAAAAGTTGCATCTTGTTGAATGAGGTGTTTTTAACAGTGTACTAACGTGATAATTATTCCTAAACACCACCCCTGGCCATAAAGCTAATTTTATATTTGTGAAACAGCAAATGTCTCTGCCGCAATGATAAATTTCACATTGTGAAAATAATTTTTTAAAGTTTGTTCATATTTTAGCCTCTCATTTAAACCATACATATTTATTTTGCTGAAAGTTTAAATTAAAAAGATTGTCAGTGCTTCTAATGTCCTGCTTTTCTGTCTTTGAGAATATATCAGTAAGATTGCAGATATTGCTGAAAATCCCAGTCAACTCAGTGCCAGATTGAAACTGATGCCAAGAAAAGGGATGCCTCTACCACCCAGAAAGAACAAGGGCAGCAGATATATGAGAACACCATCACTCTTCTAAGCTACACACCATCCTGACCAAGATAGCTATGCCTTTTTAAACTACAGAGATATTTTGGACCATTTTTTAAATAACTGTATCTGCTATGATACTATGCAAATGGTTAACTTCAGTCAATTGTGAATAATAATAACAGTAATGAAGATTTTTCCCTTTAATAAATCCATTTCTTGGCACACCCACATTCATGCTAGAAAACAAGAAGGTAATAGTAGTTCCTTTTATTTTTGTGGCTATTTACAACACAAGGAATGCGACTTGAATCAATTCTTTGACAGAATGAGTGATACCTGGCCACCGTACTGATTGTTGCATCCTCCCACGGTGTTTTATAATTTCCCAATACCCTTGATGAATCATTTGAAGAATATCAAGTTGACAGGATCTTGGGGTGACTAATCTCATATTGAAGTCTAGTCAGTCATCAGTAACAATGAAGTGCTTATACTATGCAAAATACTGGTGCAATGTTGAATTATTAGGTACATGGTCTGGCCATCCTTCCAGATTTGCACACATTATTTAGCTTGTTTTTGGACTTAGCTCATGCAACTTTCTTTCAGTAGCTGCTAAGTTCTCAGAGACTGAGGATGTGGAGGCTTCAACCTCCAATCAAATCTAAGTCCTTTTTTTTGGCATTCTGGAGAATGTGGTTTGCTGTTTTCCCTGGATATATTTTATGCATCCTAATTTGAAGTGCTGAATTCCGAGCAGAATTCTAGGCAATTTCTTGTTCAGAAGTGTGGTCAATGGTTTACAGTCTGTTTCAGTTTGATTTGTAATCCCATTTTCTTTCATGATCATGACATGATGCCCTTCTGCCTCTGTTAATGAGCCCGAAACAAAACAGACTGGTTTGTGCTTGACATCGTCCCACACTCTATAGGTTTTCTTTTCATTCATTCATAGGATATGCCTGGCCAGCATTTGTTGCCTTTGCCCAGGAGATGATGATGGAGAGTTGCCTTCTTGAGCTGCTGTGGTCCTTTGGGTGCACAGACACCCACAGAGTTGTTGGGAAGGGTATTCCAGGGTTTTTATTCAGCGACACTGAAGGAATGGTGATGTAGTTCCCAGCCAGGAACATGTGTAGTTTGGAGGAGAATTTGCCAGTGATTGTGTTCCCATACATCTGTTGCCCTTCTCCTAGGGCTAGAGGTTGTGAGTTTGGTAGGTGCTTTCAAAAGAGCCCTGGTGAGTTGCTGCTGTGCATTTTGTATATGGTACACACTGCTGTTATTTTGCATCAGTGGTGAAGGGTTTGAATGTTGAAGGTGATGGATGGGTTGCTAATCAAGCAGACTGCTTTGTCCTGGATGGTGTTAAGCTTGAGTATTGAAGCTGTACCTGTACTGGCAAGTGGATAGTGTTTCAACACACCCTAATGTATGCTTTCTGTGATTGTGGACATGCATTAGGGAGACAGAAGGTGAGTTACCTGCTGCAAGATTCCCAGGCTTTGACTGGCTATTGTAGATCGTGGGTTTGAATCCTACCATAGCAGAGGGTGAATTTGAGTTCAATAAAAAAAAAATCTGGGATTAAAAAATGTTAGCCTTATGACAACCATGCAACCATTGCCAATTGTTGTGAAAACTCACCTGGTTCATTGATATCCTTTAGAGAAGGTAATCTGACATTCTTATCTGCAGTAGGGTTAGAATTGACTCTTTACTGTCCTCTGGGCATTTAGCAGTGGACAATGAATGCTGGCCTAGTCAGCAATGCCCACATCACATGAATGAATAAAATCACTCTCCTTTATTTATTAACTACTTTGGAAAATATTGCAGCAGCTTCCTTGTTCCTGAACTTTCGTTTTACTTCAATGATCAAGGTCACAATGGAAAAATGCAGTTTAAAAAGTACCGGGTAGTCTGTTTCATGAACTGGCTGTGTGACAGGAGTCAGGACAAAAGTTTGAAGTTGCTTTACCTTCTAAGTCCACTGGGTGGGATCATGAGACCACCTCAGTCTCAGAGATATTTTCTTCCCAGATTATAGGAACAGAGGAGACCATTTAACCATTGAACCATTTCCATCATTCAGCAAGATCATGGCTGATCTGTGACCCAATTACACACTTTCCTCCATATTCTGTGTACCTTTGGTTAATAAAAATCTATTGATCTCAAATTTAAAATTAACAGATGACTTAGCTTTTGCTAAAGTGAGTTCTAAACACCCACATCCTTTGCATTTGGAAAAGTGACAGGGAGACCAGAAACATTGTTCGATACAGATTAATAGGGAGTGCCATTTCTTCTTTGTAGTGATAACCTATTGCAATGTTTACTTTTTGAATGTTGTGCCCTTTCCTGAAGGCCTGCATCACACCCTATGGTACAGCTCTATCTTTGCTGAACAGGTGCCATGCTGTAAGTAATCTCACTACTTTATTTCAATGGCCATTTCTCACTTCTCACAGTTGGCAGAGCAATGGGTTACAGTTACCCTAGGTAAGGGATGAGTTTTATATATTAGAAGGTAGCTGTATTCAAACAGAGGTCAAGTCCACATTTTTAGTAAGAGTTTTATTTCAGTTAATCACGCCCCGCTGATTACTAGCTCCCTGCAGCCATTTGCACCCAATTTAACCCTTAAAGCAAAACAAAGAACTGTGGATCAAAAATGGAAATTACTGGAAAATCTCAGTAGGTCTGGCAGCATCTGTGGAGAGAAATCAGAGTTAACGTTTCAAGTCCGGTGACCCTTCCTCAAAACTCTGTTCTGATCACAGATGCTGCCAGACCTGCTGAGCTTCTCCAGCAATTTCTGTTTCTGATTTCCAGCATCTGCAGTTCTTTCGGTTTTTAAAGAAGTGTGGTGCAGGACATCTGAAACAAAAACAGAAATTTCTGGAGAAACTCTGCAGGTCTGGCAGCATCTGAGGAGAGAGAACAGAGTTGGCCTTTTGAGTCTGATATCATTCCTTCAGAAATGGTTGTGAGGAAGGGTCACAGGACTTCAAATTTTAACTCTATTTCCTCCACAGATGTTGCCAGAGTAACATTTAGTTAATATACCCACCATTAGTCCCCCTCAATTGTCTGAGGCATTCCTTTAGACCACATGAAATGATAACAATGAAGGAACAAAATATTGATGCGTGGTTCCTAGATATGTTCACTGTGTTGCATTATTTGCTGTGTAAATAGGTATTGGTCAAATGGAAGATGAACTTTGATTGTGATGGTCCGGTAGGAGACACACAGTATGGTCACCAGCAATGCTTCCTCTAAGCTGTG